AGATCAAATGATATGCATGTATGCGAAAACAGTGATGTCAATCCCTGAAGGATTCAAATAATTGGCAAGAAGCCCAAATGTAACAGTTAAATCCAAGTAAGGATGATTCTCAATTTAGTTCAAGTAGAAAACACGGTAAAAGCATCTCTCGGGACGGACCAAGTCACAATCTCCAATGGTGCTCTACCCTACGCCCCGTTATCCGGCGTGCAAGTCACCTCAATATAGTGTTACGATGTGAAATCCCGGGGTTTCAAACCCTCAGGACATTNGCATTTTTGGTCCTTAAGTTTCTGTCCGCCCGTCACTAAAAGTCCAGTTTCGTCACTAAAAGTACACCAGAGAGACCTTTACCAACCATATTCAATCGATCATAACTTTCTGTACAAATGTCCGAATGCCAAATGGTTTAAATTTCTGGATACTAGAATACAAGGGCTACAATTTTCATGTTTTATACATTTTCCGATTCCATATATATTTCGAGATATAAGCTTCCAAATTAGCCTCCTTGCATCAGAAATTTCTGGGAAATTTCAAAACAGCTTTACTAGCTCTTATTCAATCGATTATAACTTTATGTACAAATATCCAAATGATGAATGGTTTATATTTCTGGAAACTAGAATACAAGGGCTACAACTTTCATGTTTTATACATTTTCCGATTCCTTATAGATTACGAGATATAAAGTTCCAAATTATGCTCCTCGCATCAAAATTTTCGAACCTTGCTGTCAAAAATCCAGCAAGTTAAATTGGCCTAAAAATGGCCCGAAACCATTCCGAAACTCACCCGAGCCCCTCGGGACTCTAACCAAATATGCCAACATATCTTAAAACATCATCTAAACTTGCTCCAATCATCAAAACACCTCAACTAAAACTACAATCATCGAATTACATCGAATTCAAGCCTAAGTTCTTTTAAAACTTCCAAAGAATGAATTCGATCAAAAACCCAACCAAACCACGTCCGAATGACCTGAAACTTTGCACACACATCACAAATTACATAACGAAGCTACAACAACTCTCTGAATTCCATTCCGACCCTCGGATCAAAATCTCACCTATCAACCGGAATTCGCCAAAATACTAACTTCGCCAATTCAAGCCTAATTCTACACTGGACCTCCAAAATTACTTCCGATCACACTCCTAATTCACAAATCATCTCCCGGAGCTAACCGAACCGTCGGAATTCACATCCAAGCCCTTTAACTCATAAGTCAACGTCCGGTTGACTTTTTCAACTTAAGCCTTCTTAAAAGAGACTAAGTGTCTCAATTCCTTTCAAAACCTTTCCGAATCAACTCGTTCACACCCAACACTAATAATGAAGCATAAAGAAATAGGAAATGGGGAAAACAGGGTTGTAACTCATGAGACGATGGGTCGGGTCGTCACATCCTCCCTAACTTAAACAAACGCTCGTCCTCGAGCGGGTCAAGAAACATACCTAGAGCCTCAAACAGGTGAGGATATCTGCTCTGCATCTCCCGCTCGGTCTCCCAGGTAGCTTCCTCCATGGGACGACCTCTTTATTGCACTTTTACAAAAGATATATCCTTTGACCTCAATTTTCGAACTTGACGACCCAAAATAGCCACTGGCTCCACATCAAAGGTCAAATCACCATCCAACTGAACCGTGCTGAAATCTAAAACATGGGACGAGTCCCCAACATACTTCCGGAGCATAGAAACATGAAATACCGGATGCACACTCGACAAACTGGGTGGAAAAGCAAGCATATAGGCCACCTCCCCAATCCTCCTAAGTACCTTAAAAGGTCCAATGAATCGTAGACTCAACTTTCCTTTCTTTCCAAATCTCATAACACCTTTCATGGGCGAAACCTTCAGCAAGACCTTCTCACCAACCATGTAGGACATATCTCGAACTTTCCGGTCCGCATAACTCTTCTGACACGACTGCGTTGTACGAAGCCTTTCCTGAATCACCTTCACCTTCTCTAAGGCATCATGAACCAAATCTGTCCCCAATAGCCTAGCCTCGCCGGGCTCAAACCAACCAACTGGAGATCTACAATGCCTCTCATACAAAGCCTCATACGGTGCCATCTGAATGCTGGACTGATAGTTGTTAATGTAGGCAAACTCTGCAAGCGGCAGAAACTCATCCCAAGAACCTCCGAAATCAATCACACAGGCACGCAACATATCCTCCAATATCTGAATAGTACGCTTACACTATCCGTCCGTCTGAGGATGAAATGTTGTGCTCAACTCCACCTGGGTACCCAACTCTCGCTGAAAAGTCCTCCAAAACTGGGAAGTAAACTGAGTACCTCTATCTGAGATAATGGAAACTGGAACACCGTGCAATCGCACAATCTCTCGGATAAATATCCCTGCCAACCGCTCCGAAGAATAAGTAGTACACACCGGAATGAAGTGCGTGAACTTGGTCAGTCGATCCACAATCACCCAAATAGAATCAAATTTCTTCAAAGTCCGAGGAAGACCACTCACAAAATCCATGGTAACTCTCTCCCACTTCCATTCTGGGATAATCATCCGCTGAAGCAAACCACCCAGTTTCTGATGCTCATATTTCACCTGCTGACAGTTGAGACACCGAGCTACATAACCTACAATATCTTTCTTCATTATTCTCCACCAATAGTACTCTATCAAGTCCTGATACATCTTCGCGACACCCGGATGAATAGAATACCGCGAGTTGTGGGCCTCCTCCAGAATTAACTCTCTAAGCCCATCTACATTGGGCACACAGATACGGCCCTGCATCCTTAATATGCCATCATCATCTATAGTCATATTCCTGGCATCATCATGATGAACTCTGTCCTTAAGGACAAGCAAATGCGGATCATCATACTGGCATTCTCTGATGCATGTTTGAACATCAACTGCAAAAGGGCCTCTCCCCAACTGGAATGTACGCCAAACTCCCCATACTGACTGCCTTTCAGCTCAAGGCATCTGCCACTACATTGGCCTTTCCTGGATGACACAAAATAGTGATGTCATAATCTTTTAGAAACTCAAGCCACCTCCGCTGCCTCAAATTAAGGTTTTTCTGCTTAAACAAATGTTGAAGACTACGATGATCAGTGAATACCTCGCAAGATACGCCATATAAATAGTGCCTCCAAATCTTCAAGGCATGAACTATAGCAGCCAACTCTAAGTCATGAATAGGGTAGTTCTTCTCATGGGGATTTAACTGACGAGAAGCATAAGCAATAACTCTACCCTCCTGCATCAACACACAGCCAATCCCAACTCTCGAAGCATCACAATATACAGTATATGAACCTGTAGTTGATGGTAAAACCAATACTGGAGTTGTGGTCAAAACTGTCTTGAGCTTCTCAAAGCTCTCCTCACACTTGTCTGACCATACAAATGGAGCACCTTTCTGAGTCAACTTGGTCAAGGGCGATGCAATGGATGAAAACCCTTGAACAAACCGGCGATAATAGCCTGCTAATCCGAGAAAACTACGGATCTTTGCAGCTGAGGACGGTCTAGACCAACTCTGCACTGCTTCTATCTTTTTTGGATCAACCTGAATACCCTCGCTGGACACTATGTGTCCCAAGAATGCCACAGAACTTAGCCAAAATTCACACTTGGAGAATTTTGCATAAAGCTTTTCCTCCCTCAATCTCTGCAACACCACACGCAAATGCTTGGCGTGCTCCTTCTGGCTACGCGAGTACACCAGAATGTCATCAATAAATACAATAATAAAAGAATCCAGATAAGGCCGAAATACACTATTCATCAAATGCATGAACGCTTCTGGGGCATTGGTCAGCCCGAATGATATGACTAGAAACTCATAGTGACCATATCTAGTCCTGAAAGCTGTCTTAAGAATATCCGAGTCCCTAATTTTTAACTGGTGATAGCCTGAATGGAGATCAATTTTTGAAAACACCCTTGCTCCCTG